TTTTTTTTTTTTTTTTGGTCGTACGATTACGTTCCGACGTTTAAGATTATCGATTATCAGGATTATAATTCTTACTAGAGTAACTATTCTTTACTATATGCTATACTAGAAGAACTATTTTCACTTCGATTTCCATCTTTTCTACAAGAAAATAGTTTTAAGATTCACTATAAGTTGTCAATTAATTGTACATTGATTTGGCAGCTAAAATGTATCTTTTCGATTCTTTTTCAAAAAATTTTGAAAATGATATTACAATATTGAAAATACTAGTGTCAATATTGAAATACATAATTATTCGTCAAATCTTCTCATCTGTTTAACTGCTTTTAAAAAAGCTTACATCTTCATATCTAACAACTTCTTTTTTTCATTTTCAATCATGTCAGATTAAAGTTTGTGCGATTGTAAATTAACGCTAAAGTCAAAAAGTCAATGAAAATGCCCTTATATTTTTCTCCTTCGCGATCTTCGTACACTTTGCCGTCGAAATTCTTGCCGTTGGTTCCCGTTATATTGGTACTTACTATGATAATCATAGTGAAACAAGTTTCTTTGCCAGTAAAAGTCTCATTCCTAGAAAAATTAAAGCATTACTAATTCTATCTCAAATCGTTTGTTATATACATACGTAGTATGAATGATTTCGAGTCGAGATAACGTTCGACTTGGACTCGTTGCTGACATACGTCGTACATATACTCAGATAACTTTCTCAATCTGTTTCGTCGTGTTTTTACGATTATCCCTGACAGATTTATTTCCTACGGCCCGTAACGCGAGCTTCGTATTACATGATGTTTTACGACTGCTACCAAATGAACCGATACCACTGTGACACGATTGTTAATCGATGTTGCGTTACCAAAAACGCAACATCTATTTTCCAATTGGGAAGATCGAATATATCGAATATAAATAGAATATACTTGCATCGAGTTTTTCCTGTGAAATCATATGAAAGAGATCTACATACGATTAATACATAATTGATCTAAATGATATGCAAATACAATACAATAATTTGCAATTTAATATTAGATAATTCCACAAGCAACACGCTTTTCCTGAAAGACAATTCGGAACAATAGAGGTTGTTATTAAACTTATTATTCAATATTACAAATATTATATTTGAAATAAAACGCTTGATAAAAGAAGATAAAGAATTATATAATATACGAGAATCACCGATCAATTGGTAACAGAGAGTTTGTTATTTTTATCTAGAAGTTATTAGAATAAGAAAAATCAACGAATTATGAAATGATCTAGTTGCATATACAATACTGATCGTATACATATATAGTGGAGTCGAATTTGACAACTAGATGCATTCGCGAAGCGAAGGAAAAGCGACTCGAGAGGCTACACGTACGTGTAGATGTACACTAACAAATTACCCGGGAATTTAATAATTCGACTAATTAGCCAACGAAATTGGAACGGACGAGAGTTGTCGTTCTCGTGATCTCTAACCGGATACGCGTGAACGCGTCTGTGCTCCATTCTCATAGGCTTATTCGCGGTATTCTCGCGTCCACTCTCAAATCTATCTAAACACAAGTTCGGTTAAGTAGATAATGGCGGCGAGAAAAATGGAAAGATGAAAGATAAAAGGAGCAAAATAGCTAAGAGCTTAGGGACCGTGGGTCAGCAGCGCGACGTATCGAGACGAAGGTGGAATATAGCGAGAGAAGACGATTCAAGGTTTTCATTTACGTAATTCTGACACGTTTACGCGTTTCATACGTATTGTTCATACTTATTCGTTCATACCGATTGTTGCAGCGTGTCCTGGAAACGAATCGAGCCTGCTGGCAGCTGGAATAAACGGAAAGGAAAAATCTTCTCGTCATTGGCTGTTCTTCCCCGTGGAAGTTCCTAAGAAGGATCTGGATCGATCGTCGGTGGATCACGCGACGCTACGATTACTACTCCACGGGCCGACAACCGATCACTATACCGAACGTTCCGAGCTGGAGGTGTTGTTCTATCTTCGGATATCGTCGTTTCGTCGTTCGAGGAAGTTGATCGGTCGTAGGAAAATTCAATTGCACGACTCCGGAAATCCAAGGTGGCTCGAACTCGACGCGACCCAAGCCGCTTTCTCGTGGATCGAGACGCCGCTCGAGAATCTGGGAGTCGAACTGGAATTTATGATCGACAGCGAACCGGTACCGCGCACCTTCTCCTCGCCAGTTCTCAACGTATTCACCACGAGGTATTCGGCCAATGGTAGAACGAAACGTTCCTCGCCCAAAGACGTGATGTCCCTGCACAAAGGTCGTCGGACGAAATGTAAAGGTGAGGGTAAGAAGTGTTGCAGGCACGAGCTTCACGTCATGTTCAAAGACTTGAAAGGCTTTGAGTTCATCGTTTATCCGAAAACTTTCGACGCTGGATATTGTAAAGGACGGTGCCCGCCTAGATACAATCCAGCTCATCATCACGCCCTTCTGCAAAGTCTGTTGTGGAAGGAAGATAGAAAGAAAGTGCCTAAGCCATGTTGCGCGCCGAGTAAACTCGATGAGTTAATGATCGTTTACTTCGACGAGAATGATACCACACAGTTGAAGAACTCGTACTGGAAGAACATTCAAGTACTCGAATGCGCTTGTTCCTAAGAAAAGAAAAGAAAAGAAAAAAAAAAGAAAAAAGAAAACAATACTTTGTTCTTTCTTTCCGAACGGACGAATCGGCGGAACGATTGACTGTGCGAACTAATTGTTAAATTAGTGTACGAATGTGAACGAATAATAAACGAGTGAATGGGAGTGAACGGTAAAACATGAACACGTTCGATCGAAACGACACAATAATACGGGCTGCGATTAAAAATTATAGCAACAGAATGAGAATTTTCATAACCGCAGACGACTTACCAAAGAATCGTCCGAATATTGTTTCGGTTGTGTTACTTTTTCGTCGTTTCCTCGCGACATACTGAAAACACTTGCTGTCATTGTATCACGCGAAATTTGTTTCTCGTTCGACTCCTTGTCCGCCTGGCATATTCATTTGTAAACGTTTCAAACGATCAGACAGTTATTCGTAAAACGAACGACGTAAAATTTAATCGTATCGCTGATCAACGTTCGATTTGATTCGACTCGAAGCATCGTCGAAGGTCCAGGCTCTTGATCTAGACTTTCGCATTGACTGTGATACTAAAAGATATCTAATCTTTCTGCTTGTAATAATCGTATTTCATATTTTTATTTTTTATTGTCTTACTTCCTTCTTTCTATCTTTTTATGTAGTCTTTCTCTCTAATTTCTTCTTATTTTTCTATTTTAATATGAAAGAATCAATGTATAGAGACGTTATCGGAAAGAAAGAAAAATCGCAACAGCAATATTTCTATTATTTGGTTAGTGTTAATCTTAAATGGAGTCAACCGGAACAGTTTGACTGCTTGTACTTCATTGTTCGATTGAATATTCAATGATAATTGTTACTACTGAAATATTGTCAAATGAATCTTGAAGAAATTGTGCTTTTTTTTATGAAATATAAACTTTGTATCGAGAGTTTGTAGCACGACTGAAATTTGTGCGCGGCAAAAATCTTGTGAATGCTCCTGCAAATATGTATAATGTTCATAAATTATTGACTATCAAGAGATTCTTCTACTTGGTCTCCGACATAAATGAACGCATATCGAAATTGTAATGGTCTCACTGTACTTTGACCAAAAGTTAAATGCGTTCTTATATCATGTATATCATTTGTTGAATCAATTTCGATGGCGCACTATGATGGGCATCGTAACCTCGCGTTACATGTATTGTTTAATTGACTACTGTCGATGTAAAATTAAATTTTATTCCTTATTTATAACGAAATAATTTATGAATGATCTTTATTAAATAAAACCATTCTTAAATTTCTGTCTGTTTCGTTCAACAGTTCATACAAAAATTGAAGTTACTCGGTTTTCTAATCCAACAACGATATGAAGAAACAGTAAATATTATACGATGTGACATATTCAGATGTACATAGATTACACAGGAAGGAATACGAATCTACAAATAAGGCAAACTTTACCGTAGTGTGTAAAAGGTTATCATGTACGACAGCAATAAATTTTCGCTAAATGCGATGTTAATTTATGTACAAAGTCAAAGGTCACTAAATTATGCATTATCCAAGACAATTCATTCATGTTACGTTATCTATCGACGAGTTTAATTAACTCTTTACAGACATTGTTAAGATAATAAGATTTTGTTTCTTCACACAAGAATCGCGTAACGAAAATTCATTGAGAATAACAACGTGAAATATCATTATCTTCTGTCTGTTTTGCCGACGCCTCGTTTTCCTGAAAACAAATGTTTTGGCATTTTCGTGCCGATAAATCGATCTCCTTCTCCCTTCAATCCTTTCTTCGCTATCTTTTTCTTCAAAGCTTTATGCGCAATGTTCTTTAATTTAGTCTTCATGGCAGGATCTTTCACACCCATTTCATCTCGTGCAGGTCTTGAACTACTTCTAGCTCTTGACTGAGACTCAGATTGTAGTCTCATGCGTTTCCTAGCTGGTTGCGATAATGATCTTGAACGTCCTCTTGTCTTGGTGAAATGTGCCTATTGGAATTATATAAAATAAATTATCATACACGCGAATCTTTACGCATTTCATTTTGCTCCGTATCATTATGTCTTATATTTCCTTTAATTATATTTCAACGCGTTACTCACGTTTTCAGTGTTTTCCATATCGATACCCAAATCTTCCATTTGTTCTTTCAATTTTGATACCGATCTATCACGAAGTTTGGCCATTGCTGTGCGTGGCATTACAGGTTTTGTAGAAGCCTTCTGTATTCGGGCTTCGTCTTTCATGATAGCTTTCTTTTCTCGAATTTGCTTAGCCATTTGTACAATATCGCGCATCGTATCAGACAACTGGGGCATTTTATAATCGTACATTCCAGCCTCTTCACGTAGCTGTTCTTCTTTTTCTAATTCATTTAATTTCTATCGAAAAGAATAAAAATAAAGTTATGTTTGAACAAAGTGTCATTAGTGCGTTTTAAATAGATGAATATTATACAAACATCGAATATATCTGAATCGATATAATCAGCAATATTGTGTCCTTCCCAAATCTCTGGGATAATATCATATTTTTGATCGCCCTCGATATCGTAGTTCTTCTTCAAATCGAGCACATAATCATCTCCCATTTCTTCTTCTATTTCTCGTTCTAATTTTCGTTTTTCTTTCAATGCTTCTCTTCTCTTTCTTAAAACGCCTTCAGGAATACATGGAGCGCGAATCTTTTCATCTCTCGGTACCGGTTGTGCAACATGTAAACGATTAAGCAGTCCCTCTACCTACAATCATAGATATTCAAGAACTCAAATCAATGCTTTCAACACTTTTAGTTACAAAAAAATATTCAATTTACCTTTTTCGTCCTTATCTTCTGATCAACACGGAAGGCTAGTAGACGTTCACACGCTTGTATTTTCACGTCCATTACACCAAAATCAGTAATTGTACTCATTTCCAATACTGGGACATCTTTACCGTCCAATGATTTTAAAAGTGCTCGTTTGTCAGGTGGAAGTTCTTCCAGATGTAGAATATCCACTTTATTTACCACAACTGTCAGAGGTTTGTTAGCAAACAGAGGTTTGATCGATTCGAATAATTTTACCTAGAAGACAAACCTGCTGAATCATATTAAAATAAAATTTATATAGTGGCAAGCTACAAAGGCAGCTAAGCCAATATTTTACCTGTTCTTCTAAGCTGTGACCACATTGTTCCGATATATCACAAAAATAAAGTACAGCCGCTCGCAAATGTGCAAGTGCAGTTATTGCTTGCATTTCTATTACATTTCTTTCTTCGAGCGGATGATCTAAAATTCCGGGTGTATCAACTACTTGCCATCTTAAATATTTGTAATCTGTATGACCAACATATAATGACTTTGTCGTAAATGCATATGGTTGAACTTCAACATCAGCACGTGTTATCTGAATAAAATATTAATCAATATTTTAGTAGTTTGCACTACTTTTCCCATGTAATATGCTGATAACAATTGTTTAAATTACCTTGTTAATGAAACTGCTTTTACCAACATTTGGGAAGCCACATATTATAATGGTACGTGTATAAGGATCTATACTAGGTAAACGAGCTAAATGTTGACGTACTTGTTCTAAATATGCCAGATTCGCTGCTTGTCTTTTCATGATAGTAGCCATGCGACCTAAAGCAGCTTTTTTCAATTGTTTACATCGGTATAAAGAATCTCCATATTTCATCAAACGGACATAATCTTTTGCAACGCTATATTGTGACAATACATGTGAATATACCATTGGAAGAATATCTAAATGATGATATTCTAATATACTTACTTATCAATTAAATGCCTTGCTATGTTTATTTGACCAAGAGCTAATTTGTAATGATCTTTATCATAAAGAACGTTCATTAAATCAGCATAAAAGGGATGAACGTCGTCTAGTTTAGGAAATTCCTGTATGATTTGAGACAATCTGTCATGAAAGTTCTGTTGCGTAAATTTCACTTTACGCATATAAAATGCACGTATCCTTGCAATTTTATAATTTTTGTGTACAACGGTTGGAGTTTTGCGTTGTGTTTTTGATAAGATTATATCAATAAAGTCCTAAAAATTTATCAACATTTATCAAATCAACTCATTTAATTACCAAGTACAAAATTGAAAACCGAGCTACTAACCTTTGCGGTGGGTACAACCGCGATTTTCTTGAAATTGTACAGCCCCATTATTGCGTTCTCCTTTCGACTTACCGTTTTAGTGAAATTTTACATTCGAAAAAATTGATAAACCTATATGTTTGATACTGACCTAACGACTAACTACAAAATAAAACATTAACAAAATGCACGAAACAACGTGCACATGCCAAAACGGCCTATGAACACTTTCTTTCATTTTAATCCCAGCGCTATGGTGGCAAAAGCAAGAAATTAAATAGTCAATGACTTAACTGCATGGATCTGTTTTCGCATGGATCTATTAAGCAAAACTAAAAAATTTTTATTAATACATTTTTAAGTATAAATGGAGCATAAAATGAAACATAGACGTCTTAAATGAATTCATAATTTCAGAAGTTGACAAATTATTTCTCTCAATCAGCGGTTTCTCACGATCAGTGAAGGTTTGGACCTGGTTTTTAAAACTTTTTATTTATGCATTCCACGCTCCAAATGGGGCGAAAGCTGGTATTAATAAGATTTCATTACAAAAGTTTGCAATTCTCTAAATTAATTTTTTTGCAAACTTGTTTTATGGACACAGACGAGGTATTTGAATAGATGAAGCACTCAATGTATTTCTTTGGCCACGACTTCGGGGCACCTTTTGGGTTACCATTGTCGGGTCACATCCTGTTGTACCGATTCAGCAAATTTTTCACCGTGAATATCAAAAATTATGGACAGTGCTACCAGATTTGTTTCGAAAATTATTCATTGAATTGAACTTGGTGGTCCTTCATCCACGAAGGAATATTAAAACAGAGATTGATGAAAATTGAGATGAAAAATTTAATATATATTTGACTATTAACATCTATTTAAAAGTATTAGAAAAAATTGACTGAAATATGGTATTTTTATTAACAATATAATTAGATGTGACGTTTTTTAATTTACAAAATTGTAAATTCACAACCTGAATAAATTATCTTTATCCCGTAAATTCGATTTTATGAAAGTTTGAACTTATCAATAAAATATTTCTAGAAATATGCAATTGTAATACAGTTATAATTTAAAAATTAAATAATTTATAATTTAAAAATTTATCACGAAAATGTAAATTTAGTATCAGTCGATAAAAAATTAATAAATTATTACATTTAACATTGTAAAATATTTATGAAAGTGTAACTTTGCAACAGAAATGTAAAAACTATTAAATTATTGATTAGTATAATAGAAAAACTGTTTTACAAAATACTAAAAAAAGTTATCAACTGTTCCGGATCACTGACGATCGAAACATTAGATTAACCTTGAGAGATACGGAGATTCATTATCAATTAAATTTTCGCCGTGTTTTGAAAAAGATGTTTGAAAAAAAAGTTATCAACATTAGATTAACCTCCAACGGCTTAGAGATCATTATCAATTAAACTTTCGACGTAAACATAGAGATAAAATTTCAGAAGTTTGAAAAAAAAGTTGTCAACTGTACCTGAACACTGTCGACCGCAATATTATATAACCTTGAGTAGTAAGGACACTCATTACCATCCGTCCTGTGCACATCTGCCCAGCGGAGCTCCGAGGACATCGTGGGATGCGTGCGTCTTAACTAGTTGCGTGCGTCTTAATTTTAAGTTGCGTGCGTTTAGTTTTAGTTAATCTTTGTAAATTCACTGTGAACGCATTCTGTACAAAGACACGTTCATTGAACTTGGGACGAAATTACCAATCTGTCATCTCCTCTCTTCTTTCGTTCGTTTTTGCTATTGTTACTTTGTTCGTTGC